GCAAATCACTTCTCCAAGTGTCTCCTTGAATCAGGGTTACAGAAAGCAAATCACTTCTCCAAGTGTCTCCTTGAATCAGGATTACAGAAAGCAAATCACTTCTCCAAGTGTCTCTCACAAACAAACCAGGACCGATGAATGCTGAACGAATGAATGAACGTTGACTCCTGCAACCAGGGCGTGGCATCATCCGTCCTTTTATCACCAGAAGACACCACTAACGAGCCCCAGCTGCACTGTTAAACTTGCATCCCGAAAAGAGTCACAGGGGACGTCTGCTGAGTCCCAACACATCTCTAGTTAGCCTTTTGGAAAAGTAGAAATTTAATGGGAAAATTGAAAGTTTTAAACTTTTATTTTCAGCAATATTCCCATTGTAAGCAGCCAAATCTTTCCAGGAAATTCACAATCTGGGTATGCAAAGTATTTCCAGTATTGCTCCTTAATGGCTCTATGCTCAGCCATGGATTTTTGATTCTAGAAGTTCCATTTGCCTATCGTCTTTCTGAAAAGCTGTGAGAGATGGAACCATTTCTTAAAACCTGTTTTGATTTTTGACTGAAGTCAACGAGATCTCAAATACATCATGATTGTTTTGCACTTTTAGTTTGGTGATTATTACAGCAAGAATGGGCAGTGCTGGGCTCACATCTCCCTTTTTGTACCATTCCTCCAGTGTTCGCAACCTCTTAAATCACCCAATCACAGAGCACAATTTTTAAAAAGCCTTTAAAAACCCCTCTGGTGTTATAACCCATTTGCCACTGTGTGACATCATTGTCTCTGTCCCAGTCACGGTCTTTATTTAAGCCTGGAATGTTAAATGCTTCCATTTAATAACAAAACTTCTGCTATATCCTAATTAAGAAAAGAGAGCACATGACTGCAAAGAAATTTATTATTGACAACTATTGCTGGACTGATTAAAAAAAAACAAAGAAAATTATAATCGGCCATCCTTTGCTAACCCAAATTCTGCCACGGCATATGCTGAATTATTTCAAAGGTTTTATCTAATTCAAAATCTGACAGGTCAAACATTATGGTAAATGATTCTAAATAATCTCAGTTAACATCCAAATAAAAAGTAAATTCTCAATGGCAACAACTGAATTTAAAATAGTAGAAAAAGTAAACTCAATGGCAATAATAGAACTGAAGAAGCTTCTTGGATGAGAAACAAAATTGACTTCAAAGAAAAACAAAGTCCAATTGCCTTTTGGGGAAAAAAAAAGCATCTTTGGGACAACCAAATTGATTGACTGAGAATCTCCAGACTCTCAATGGCAATAAGCATGTTGACTGACAGTGAAATGAACACATGTGGATAGCTTCACTGAACATATCAAAACACCCCTCCATCTTCAGGATGAGAATGAAAGGGATGAACTGAATATTAGCTCAGATATATTGCTTATGTAATTATAATCATGCTGTCATTTACTATTTCAGAAATCCTTTTCTTCCTCTGAAAATAGGTTCCACCACAAATGCACGAACGACAATAGCGCGCCTGACAAAACCGCGGTGACGAATGAGCGCTGAAGCACGCCGACAACAGCACGCCGACAGAAGCGCGCTGTAACCCTAACCCTAAACCTAAACCTAATCCTAAACCGTACCTTAACTTAAATCGCCCTTCTGTTGGCGCGCTGTTGTCGGCACGCTTTTGACATCGCGGTTTTAGCGCCGCGGTTTTGTCGGCGCGCTTTTGACGTTCGCGCATTTGTCGGGTCACGTGAAAATAAGGAACTGCTTTAAAATGCAACTAACAGAGTGGATTAAACCCACATTATACCAGTCTCACTAAAATAAATAGTCCTTAATTTAATAATAAGTAACTTGTATTCATTTCCGTAGGAAGAAAGGGCGGCCTTCATCTAGTCCAGGGTTTTAAAATATTCTTAACACCCTGAAAATAAGATCTCTCTGGATAATAAGCCCAATTGGGATTTTGAGCGCATGCGCTAAAAATAAACCCTCCCCCCAAAATAAGCCCTCCCCCAAAATATTACAACACAGCAGCAGCCGTGAGGTGATCACGCTTGCCACCTCCTGCACCTCAAAAATAATAAGACCTCACCAAAAAATAAGGCCACGTGCTTATTTAGGGGGGTCAAAACAAAATAAGACCCGGTCTTATTTTCAGGAAAACACAATAAAAAATAGATTCTGCCCAGAGTAGATCTACTTACCGAGGGCACCAGAGCCCCTTTCAGCAGGATCTCCCTAATGGCTTTGCCTTTGCTAGTATTTCTGCTGGCTTCTTCCCGCAGCATCTCTCCAATAGCCACGTGGGAGAAATCGTATTTACTAGCTAGCCGGATACTCTGCACGTCTTTCCCGGAGCCGGGGCCTCCTATCATAAAGATGATGACCGAGTCTTTCAACTTTTCTGCAGCAAAAGAGAAGACAGTCACATGGAAGGATGTGTTCCTCAGGCGGTTATTATTAAACTACACTTTATAAAGTGGGACCCTTAATAGCTTGCAAAGGACAGAGTCTTACAGATTTTCAGTACAATTAAATGTAGATAACAGCTGCTAAGCTGAGTGAGCAATCAGATGGAATGTCCTTTTTTTTGCACATAAAGCTACCTTAAAGTGAGGCAATTTATTTTTTATTTATTTTTTATTTATTTTTTATTTATTAAAAANATATAAGTGCAATAAATTCAATTCAATTCAATTCAATTCAATTATGATCTTCACAGGTCCATAAAGCAGAGGAAAGCTGAAGAAAGATCATAAGCACTGTTGTGGCAACTGCTTCCTTAATGACCAAAGTGGCAGTTCCAGTGGTGATCAATGAATGAGGACTATCTGTACTTCAAGAAGTGGTGGGTTGAAATTGACAATAAGAGGGAAAGCATTATCCTCATTATTTTTGTGGACACTGTAGTGTGGAAAGGTGCAAGCCGACTCCTTCCTCCTTCATAGATAAAAGAGGGGAGGTGTGTTGTCTTCTCCTCACCTATTGGAAGCCTAGGGAGAAGTGGGTGTCAAAAGCAGAAAGGATAGAAAGAAAAATTGAATATGGAAGGAAACAAAATGTAGTGGAGGGGCATGAGCCACGGTGGTGCAGTGGTTAGAGTGCAGTACTACAGGCTACTTCTGCTGATCACCAGCTGCCAGCAATTTGGCAGATCAAATCTCACCAGGCTCAAGGTTGACTCAGCCTTCCATCCTTCCGAGATGAGTAAAATGAGGACCCAGATTGTTGGGGGCAATAGGCTGACTCTGTAAACCTCTTAGAGAGGGCTATAAAAGCACTATGAAGTGGTATATAAGTCTAAGTGCTATTGCTATTGCTGAGAAAAGCTGGCCAATGAGCAGAGAAGCAGGTCCATCTAGCCTAACATTCCCCAAGAGCATCACACTCATTAGGATCCCCTTATTTTATCTTCAAAGTGTGATAAAGCATAACAAATGTTAAATATTGACCGAGTCCACCAAGGAAGCTGGAATGAGGGTAAGATTCTACTTTAAGATCAGGAGAGCCAATAATACCTTCATGAACCCTGAGCTAGGGTGAAGGCAAGGGTGCTGTCTTGGGGACAAGGGAACTGGTGCTGTCACAGGAAAAGTGTGCTAGGGTCAAATGTAAGTAGACACCAAGGTTACTATCCTTTTCTAAAAGCCTTGCACTTGTGGTCCAAGTCAGCTGCTGATCTCTGAAACTCCTTATGCCTTAAACAGGCTCTAAGTCCTCCTCTTTTCCTGCAAGGCATCGATGGTTATTAGCCACAGCTGTGTCCTAGGTGGGCTGTACATCTCCACCTCCACGTCATGCTCTTTTCCATTTCCAATTGGCCAGCATAGGTTCAGATCGTGCTGAACTCACCACAAGCAGGATTTATCACTTGGTGAAGGAAGCTGTGGCTCTCCAAATGATGCCAAATCTTGATTCGTAGCAGCTCCAGCCAGCATGGTCAATGACGATGGATGATGAGAGTTGTTCAAGAACATCTGAACAGTCAAAGTAACCCCATCTCTGTCTCTATGTGCGTAATAAGACTCTCCCATAGATGCCAACAATGCATTGGCTAAAAACGAGATGGGTGGGCTAATAAGGACCTCAGCAGATGGAGGGCAAAGCTTTCCATATATGTTTCAGAAAGCTTCTTCCTGGGAGTGGTCCTCCTGAGTTTAGTTCTCAGTTCTCAGACTGTTTAAAAACCCTTAAACTGTCTGGGACCTGAACACCTTCAAGATGAATGAGAATGGAATTGCAAACTATCCCCTGAACTGGATCCAAACACCAATGGACTCCATATGAGACCTGTGCTTGTTGAAACACTTTAACAAGACTCTTGAGGTCATCCACATCTAGAAGCCAGCACTTTCTGCCAGTGGAAGATTCTGAACTGTTGCTTAAAGTCAGCATTGTTCAGACAATAGAAAAAGCCACAAGCAATAATGATGTTCTTTTTCTATCCTAAATAGGGCAAGAAGAACCTGGCACAGACCATTTAGAAAGGAGGTGCCGGCAGGGGGGGGGGGACTGAATTGTATAAGAGGGACCAGGAGAACTTCAGGCCAAAGTGATGCTATTCTTCTACATTCCAAATATGGCAGCTGGGAGCATAAGCAAGATTACCCGGATAAACTTTAGAGATAACATTCTTGGTGTAAGTATGGAAACAGAAAGCTGTCTTGTTATTTTCAGTGTAGATGCTGCCTCTGTGTTTTTATGGAAAGGATGAGGTGTTGTGAAGAAGAAATATTTTGTGTATTCCAAAACTCTTATGGAGTAACCAAACATCACACTAAGTATGTAAGCTTACAGTGGCATTCAAATCTGTCAAACTCCAGCTTAAAAAAGAAGACATTTTTTTCCAGTCTGCCTGGCTTTTTTAAATAGTTGTTCCATTTTTGCTTCTCCCTCCCCATCTATTATCAGCTGGATTTCTGGAAATAAATGAGAGAAAGATTAGCTCCAGTTTTGTTTGATGTCCATGGTTTGATGTCCATGGTGACTAGAATAATTCATTCTGATTATTCATCTTTTTTGTGGAAACCAGGAAAATCTATTCTTTCAGGCAGATGTTCTCAGTAGATTAAAAAGAGGCAGTTGTTGAATCAAAGACATGGTGTTTAAAAGAACAGATTCATTAAACCAGAAGCATCTTTTTTTCCCTCAGTTCTGTAGAAGCCTGGAAAAAGAAGCGTTTGCTTTAACAAATAGCAAGAAAGCAACATCCCCCTACAAGGTCTTATCACTTTCTCCTACACCATTTTCAAAGAGTACCCAACTCTCCCCTTTGAGCTTGCAAGATACTTCTGCTCATTTGTAAAAGATAAATATGAGTTAAAGAATACTAAGCTGAGCCCAATAGTTTTTTGGGGGGGGTGGAGGGGTGGGAGAGGGCTTCCAAACCAGACCACTGATGACAAAAAGTGCACATTATGGCAATCCAAAACTCCTAATAGCTAATATAATTGGAGAAGCATCAGGATAATACAATCACAATGTCTAGTCTAACTTTGCAGTCCCAAAGATATATTGCAATCCAAGCTCAATGTTAAGCAGTTGTCCATCTGCATTTAACAAAGTAAAGAAGTCTAACCTGGAAGCTACAGAATATGGGTGATTGAGGTCAAGCTTAATGCTTCAGTCCCCAGGGATCAGCCAAGAATTTTAGGTACCAAAATATACCCAAGAACTTAACTTGGCATGTTTTGAGAATGAAGATATTAGCTTGTTTATCTCAATAAAACACACTGAAAATTTCTAGTTTTACCCTTAGAATCAGAAGTTGGTTCCTACCAGTTTGGACTGGTTCGGGCAAGTAGGTAGTAACTTGGCCGGCCACACCCCCGAACTGGTTCTATCGGCGGTGCTATAGGCACTGCCATCTTGTTTTCTGCTTCTGCAGCCAAGAGCCAAGGTGGCGCAGTGGTTAAATGCAGCACTGCAGGCTACTTCAGCTGACTGCAGTTCTGCAATTCGGCTGTTCAAATCTCACTGGCTCAGGCTTGACTCAGCCTTCCATCCTTCCGAAGTGGGTGAAATGAGGACCCGGATTGTTGTTGGGGGCAATATGCTGACTCTGTAAACCGCTTAGAGAGGGCTGAAAGCCCTATGAAGCGGTATATAAGTCTAACTGCTATTGCTATTGCTAATTTTTTTACTACTGTGCATGCGTGCATCAAGCGCACGCATGCGCAAAGCATGTCCCTGAGCAAACAGGCAGTAACAGAAGCCGGAGCCCAGCCCTGTTTAGAATGTGGGGGATTATCTGCCTGAAATGCTTTTCTTCAAACAGTTTGATCCTGACCACCATCCTAGCCACATTTTCCATCCTCCTTTTTTCCATGTTTCTCTTCTTCCTATGCCTTTATTGTTGCTGCTGCTGCCTTGAGTACTGTTAGGTTTATGAAGACATCTGGTTTATCTTCGGTGGTAATTCTTTTTGGCAGAACCTTATCGTGGTTGATTTCATGACCTTCTCCAATCTCCTCTCCCAATCCCTTTGTCCCAATCTCTTTCTTCAGGGAGGAAAAAGATGAGATCTGAAAAGTATCTCAGCTTTTTATTACACCAGTAGGAAATGCTTGATTTTGTGTGTCATGGTGGGGAGGGTCACATATCTGTCACTTGTAGCTCATAAGAGCAGGGGACAAACTTTCCATACCTGCCATTCACTGCTGGGCATTTCCAGATAATGCCCTTTAAGTGGCTTTGGAATGCTATTTTCAACTAATGTACACCAGACATTTACAGGGGGCGAATACTATAATACGGTGTCTAAATCAAACAATGTACTGTATAATAGGGTACTTGTCTTAAAATATATGCGTTAGCACATTTGCTAAAGGTACAGCAGATGATTTTGAATCTAGAGAAAATACTTTGAGAATTAGTAGAGAATCTATGTTGTCTGCCGAAATTCCCAATTCAATACCTGCCCTTCATTTGAACCCTCAAGAAATCTTGCAATGAAGTGATACACAATATGTAAGATTGGTCTAGATGGATAGACCTGGAAGAAGACACTACTTTGTAGATAGAATTCACACACCATGCATGCTATGTGAGTTTTGTTAACCCTGGTTTGTTGGATTGGTCACATTTCCTAGAAATATTCACTTGATCGCCATTGTGGCATGAAATGAAATGCTACACATAACTAATCTTACCACAATTACAGTTTTAATAAAACTTGAACTGGGGAAATGGACAACTTTGAATAAAATCCACCATCAACCTTGAATAGAGCAGAGATGTACATTTAAGAAGGAAATGCAAAACTGATACAATTTGGGCACACTTGAATTCCCTTTATAAAGGTCCTTGCTGGAACCAAACCATATAAAAAAAACACTTGAAAGGGCTGAGTGAGGAGGAGAAAAGATGAAGGATTGTCAGAAAGCTGCCTTCAGATGCAGAACATGGAGCAGATTTGTGCTGCATTAGATCAGGCAGGTCACTCCTGGCTGGGGATGATGGGATTGTGTAGCTGAAGAAGCTGGGAAAGAACATTGATCAGATCCCACTCCCCCATCCAGTCCAATCTGTTCTACTTTTTTGGATTTTACTTTTAGTCTCTTAAGCAGGAGAAGCCAAGGAAGGAAATCATAGAATCTTCTGCAGACAAAAAGGCTCTGTCCCCCTTTGTTGAGATCCCATTAAGCTTTTAGCTTTAGTTTAGCATGTCTGAATTCAGCCACAACAAATCATGGCTTCTCAGACAAACCATGGTTCAGTAAACCACAATTTAATGTAATGTGCAAATCTAATCAATATGGGCAGTGTAAATTCTTCTTACGCAAACCATTTTTTAAAAGGCTCATTTGAAAATCCATTTTATCCTTGTTTTAGCTAACTGAATGCCTCCAGGAGCGAGTTGGAAATGTTACATATTTGACTTCTGAATCATTTAATTAAGAATTAGGCTTCCTCTGGTGCAGACTTTTTCATTTTAGTTGTCATTCTCTTTCCACATCTCTTAGACAAAGGTGGATCCTTAAATATCCAAAACAGTAGACAAAATCTGCACTTAAAAAAATAGGTTTCAGGGATGGAGCACCAAATTTTGCACACACAAAAAAAAAAGGAATCTTTAAAAGTTATGTTAAAGGCAATGAATATTTTTTGAAAAAAATGCACTCCGGGTTGAGAATGTCTAATAGTGTCGGTACTGATCAAGGAGACGTATAATAACATCTCTTTTATGTATTTTATGTATAAAGGATGGCTGGATACCATAATAAGGCTTATACAAAACATCCATCATGAAGGACATTTTTGCATTTTTTCCAATTCTGCAACTGAAATTGGTAAATCATATTTTACTTTACTGTGCAGCCTGGTTTGGAACTATTTGTTCACTTCTCCACTGAAATTTCCAGGACTGTAGCAAAGTTTTGCTCAATTGCAATTGCGGTTAGTAGATTATACAATACAATGCAATAGCAGAATTGGAAGGGACCTTGGAGGTCTTCTAGTCCAACCCCCTGCCTAGGCAGGAAACCCCATACCATTTCAGACAGATGGCTATCCAACATATTCTTAAAGACTTCCAGTGTTGGGGCATTCACAACTTCTGGAGGCAAGCTGTTCCACTGATTAACTGTCAGGAAATTTTTCCGCAGTTCTAAGTGGCTTCTCTCATTGATTAGTTTCCACCCATTGCTTCTTGTTCTACCCTCAGGT